TCCTTGGGTTTCCGAGGCAGTTATCACTATGGAAGTAGGATTGCCCAACCTTCCTTCCGAGGAGTGGCTGGTGGGTTTGAACCGCCAGCCATTTGGTTAGCAGGCAAGTGTCTTAGCCACTATGCTGCATAGTCTTCATAAATACTATTTTTAATGTTTATAGGAGATGAACAATTTAAGTCTTTTCCCTCCTTTTGAATATTTAGGAACTCTGGTAGTGTGGTGCCTAAGGCATTTGACTGCTAACCAGAATGCTGGTGGTTCAAACCACCAGCCACTCCTTGGAAGGAAGATTGGGCAATCTACTTCTGTAAAGATTTACTGCCTTAGAAACCCAAGGAGAGGTAACTATGAGTCGGATCCGACTTGACAGCAGTGAGTTTTGTTTGAGTTTGAATATTTAGGTTGTTTCCAATTGTTTTATTTGAAAACTGGTGTTGGTTTAAGGTGTTATTTTGGCTCTGTTTGTGTAGTTAAGATTTTCTCTATTTAGAATTATTTTTTTAAGGGAGAGCTAAGGGGCAAAAAAGAAAAAAAAAAACAACCCACCAACCAACCAAACAACCAAACAAGTAAACCAAAAAACCCCTTTTAATGATATAGAAATCTCAGACTGAAGCCAACTCAGCTTAGATTAGTTGCATTAGTTTCAGAGGATGCTTTCCAGTTCCAATGTTCAACCCTGAATTGGGTCTTCAAGTTTATTTTCTTCATTTGTGTGATTTTCCAACACATATATCCACCATGCTACATGTATATTTAAACATATGTAGGCCAAATACGCAAAAGTTTTTTTGAATAAGTCTCCCAGTTTACAGTATCTTATACAGTGCTGTAACCATATACACATAATATACACAAACACATGTGTCCTTGATGATTATAAGACATGTACATACATCTGGCTGGATGAAAGAGGTACAAGAAATGGTATCTCTTGTTTATTTTTCCCTAAATTTTATTTATTTCGTTTTTGTTCTTGAGAATGTACACAGCAAAAACACACATCAATTTATCAGTTTCTAAAAGAAGATGGGGCAATCTCCTTCCGTAGTGATACTGGCTTAGAAACCCAAGGAGGAGTCGCTATGAGTCGGGGCCGACTCGATGGCACATAACAACAACACAACAACAACATATATATAATTTAATGATATGATGGCATTCTTTGAGTTGTGGAGCCATTCTTACCCTTCTTTTCTGAGTTATTCCTTTCTCATTAACATAAACTCACTGCCCCCTAGGATTCCTTCTAATCTTTTGAGTTGCTATTGTCAATTTGATCTCATTTAACCAAAACCAAACTTACTGCGGTCGAGTCGGATCCGACTCATAGCGACCCTTCCTTGGGTTTCTGAGGTGGTGTCACTACAGAAGTAGATTGCCCAACCTTCCTCTGAGGAGTGGCTGGTGGGTTTGAACTGCCAGCCTTCTGATTAGCAGTCAAATGCCTTAGGCACTATGCTACCAGAGCTCCCGTTCTTAAAAGTGTTATGCTCAAGGCAGATATTTTTTACTCATTAAGCTAAACCACTGTTCAATTTTAAGATGACTTCTGGGGATATTTTTTGGTTAAGGTTGAAATACTATCTAAGGGCAATAATTTCAGGGTTCATCCACCCTCCATGGTTCCAGAAAGTCTAGAGTCTGTGAAGACTTGAAATTCTGTTCTGTAATTCCCCCTCTTTGATCAGGATTCTTCTGTGGAATCTTTGATCTAAAATGTTCAGTAATGGTAGCCAGGAACCATCCAGTTCTTCTGGTCTCATGGCAAAGGAGGCAGTTGTTGATGGAGGCAATAAGCCACACATTCCATATTCTTCTATTCTGTTGCTCCAGATGAATATGGACAAATTGTGCCTTGGATGGCCATTTGCAAGCTTTTAAGGCCTCAGGCAATACACAATGAACTGGAAGGTAGAAAAGAGGCACTAAACATGTTACTAGACCAATTAACTGGGATGCCGCATGAAACCATGACCTTAAACTTCCAAACCAAGAAATGAAATTCCATGAGGTGTTTGGTTGTACATAAGCAGTCTCAACAACTACTCTTTTTTTTTGGTCATTGTTGTTAGTATATCTATCACACAACTCTTGTCAGTTCAACTTTCTACAGGTGTACAACTTATCCACAGCAACTGCAATAATTGGCTGTGCAACCCTTCCTTTAATCAATGTGATTTTGGGTCTCTATTGATTTTAATGGGACAGTTCAGCAAAATGCAGCAGCAATAAGAGATGAGGGCATCTCTACCTTGGTCCTCTTTCTTCTTGGAAGAGAAAGAAAGAGCTCAACCACCTCTCTATCAGTAAATCAATAGCAAAAAAAAAAAAACAAAAAAACAAAAAACCAACAACCCAGAAATAATTATGCTGCTCCTTGGCCAATATTTTTTTGGAGATTATGATGAACTGCTAATAAAGTCTTAATACAGAGGCTAATAAAGACTTTGGCTGTGGTGGAATTGAAATGTCCTTGGTCTTGATGTGGCAGCCTGGATGTTGAATACTCATTCACTCTCTAATTGTATGACCTTAGGTCATTAACTTATTTTTACTGAGTAAAATGGGGATCATTGTAACAATGACTTCTTCACAATGTGATGGTGAGGATTCAATATGATAATGGATAAGAAGGTGTTTAGACACTGTAATGCTCTGTACAAGGTATGGTATTTGCTTTTTCTCCCTTACTGCTTCCATTTCCTCCAATACCAGGGCTGCTCTCTTGGTGAGGTCAATCCATAATGTGTTTGGGAAGATGCTATGACTTCGTCATTCCTACACCCACCTTGCAGGGCTCAGAAGGGGAAGATGTTGATCTGGAGCTTCCTCTGCAGGGCATCCTTCACCTCCTTGTTGCGGAGGCTATAGATGAAGGGGTTGAGCATGGGAATTATGATAGTGTAGAAGACAGATACTACTTGGCTATTGGTATCATTAGTGGATCCATGGGGCTGGACATAGGTGAAAACCACGGTGCCATAGAAAATGGCAATGGCCAGGAAATGGGAGGCACATGTGGAGAGGGCTTTCTCTCGCCCAGCCGCGGAGCGAATCCTCCCAATCGTCACCAAGACCAAGCTGTAGGAGGTGAGGATGATTGCGGCAGGCAGCAGGGTAACCAATGCAGAGAAGATATAGAGGACGACTCTTGCTGTGGCTGTGTTGGCACAAGCTAGGCGCAGAAGGGGTGGGATGTCACAGAAGTAGTGTGTTACCTGGTTGGGCCCACAGAAAGGCAGGGCAAAGACATTCCCAGTCTGGATAGCAGAGTTGGCTCCACCAAAAGCATAGGAAGCAGCCACCAGCTGGATACAAGTCCCTTTGGTCATGACTGAACCATAATGGAGGGGTCGGCAAATGGCCATGAAGCGGTCATAGGCCATGGAGGCCAGAAGGAAGCTCTCAGTGGTCACATGTAACACAAAGAAGGTCAGTTGGGTCACACAGCTCTCAAAAGAGATGGACTTGTCAGAGGCCAGAAAGTTGGCCAACAGTTTGGGTGTGACCACAGAGGAGTAACAAATATCAAGAAAAGAGAGGACACTGAGGAAGAAATACATGGGACTATGGAGACGGGAGTCTGTAAAGATAAGGGCCATCATCCCTAGGTTGCCCACCACTGTCACGGCATAGATGAGCAGGAATACTCCAAAGAGAAGCTCCTGTAGATCTGGGTAACTGGAGAAGCCCAGCAAGATGAACTGGGTAACTGGGGTATAGTTGCCACTGGCAAGGGCTAGCTCTCCAGGAGTCATCTGCAGATGTGAAAATTGATAATCAAACAGTGTTGCTTGAGCATGTCCACCACTGTGCAACATAACAATGTGGGAGAACACCAACAAGCATGCTGTTGTTTTTGTTGTTACGTGCCTTCGAGTGGGACCTGACTCATAGCGACCCCTCCTTGGGTTTCCAAGGTGGTGTCACTATGGAAGTAGACTGCCCAACCTTCCTTCTGAGGAGTGGCTGGTGGGTTTGAACTGCCAGCCTTCTGGTTAGCAGTCAAGTGCCATAGACACTATGCTACCAGAGCTCTTACTAACAAGCATAAGGCTCCTTTTTCAAGAAGCTAATGTAAAGCCTCATGCCATAGTGGAAAGGAGGTCTGAAAACAGGCAGACAGACCTGAATCTTAATTCTGACTGTGGCACTATAAGCCTTACTTTCTAAATCTGTGAAATGAAGAAAATATATCTTCCATTCAGGGTAGTTGTGTGGCCTAAATGAGAAAATGAATATAAAATATCTGACTGTCTGGGACATAGTGTTGTTGTTAGGTGCTGTTGAGTGGGTTCTGACCCACAGCAACCCTACGTATAAGAGAATGAAACACTGCCCAGTCCTGCACCATTCCCACAATTGCTGCTGTGTTTGAGCCCATACTGCAGTCACTGGGTCAATCTATGCCACTGAAGGTCTTCCTCTTCTTTTCCTGGCCCTCTACTTTACCAAGCATGATGTTCTCCAGAGACTAGTCATGGGGATATACTAGGTGATCAGTAAATGTGAGAGGCCTCTTACCAATCTCTTGTAACTCTTTCTGTACAATATGTTTATAATTCTATTTGGTAATTATTTTGTTCTTTTTTTAAAAAATCAAGATATAATTCACATACTATGAAACTCACCTTTTCAAATGTAAAATTCATTGGTTTCTAGGATATTCACAAAGTTGTGCAAGCATCCACACTAATACCAGAACATTTGTATCACTCTAAAAAGACAGTTTTTACCCATTAGCAGTCATCCCTGCTGCCACCAGCCCCTGTTGTTGTTGTTATGTGCCATCGAGTAGGCCCCGACTCATAGTGACCCCTCTTTGGGTTTCTGAGGCGGTAACCCGATGGAAGTAGATTGCCCAACCTTCCTTCCAAGGAGTGGCTGGTGGGTTTGAACTGCCAGCTTTCTGGTTAGCAGTCAAGTGCCTTAGGCACTATGCTACCAGAGCTCCTACCTACCTCCAGCCCCTGTTGTTGTTGTTATGTGCCTTCGAGTCAAACCCGACTCATAGCGACCCCTCCTTGGGTTTCTGAGGCAGTTATCACTACGGAAGTAGGATTGCCCAATCTTCCTTCCGAGGAGTGGCTGGTGGGTTTAAACCGCCAGCCCTCTGGTTAGCAGGCAAGTGTCTTAGCCACTATGCTACCAGAGCTCCCACCCATTAATCTACTTACCGTATCTTTGGATTTGCCTATTCTGGACATTTCATATCAATGGAATCATATAATATGTGGCCTTTGTTTCTGGCTTCTTTCACGTAGCATAATGTTTTCAAGGTTTTAGCAAGTATCAGTCAGTGTTCATTCTGTCTTCTATTAAACATCCTTCAGGGCATCTTTTCTTCTATATCATAGCCATCTTGTCCTCTGAGAATCTTGAGAGGAACCTTACCAGGAGACTATCTGCTTGGAAATTGTGTTTTTATTCTTGCTTGACTGATTGCCAAGATTTTTATCCATGTGAGAACTGGAAATGCCCAAAGTCCTTCCCTTCTATCCCACTCTTCTACCCCTTTACCTTCTCCCCCAGAATGCTGATGGAGCAATGGTTAACTGAAAGTTTGTCAGATGGAACTCACCCAACACTCTACAGGAGAAAACCCGGTGATCTTCTTCCATAAAGATTACAGCCTAGAAACCCTACAGGGCAGTTCTACTCTGTCACCTGAGGTCGCTATGAATCAGAATTGATGCAACAGCACCCGACAAACAACCACCTTCTACTCTTTGAGAGTCTGGGTTACATTATCAAAATCAGCCCCAGGAAAACATCAGTAACTTCTTCACCCAACTCAAACAGATTTATGCTGAGGACAAGGAGGGCATGTGGTACCACTCTGCAGAAGAACATGGAAGGACAGGCTCATCTCTGTCCTCACCTTTGTACAGGATATGGCAGAATGAGCACTGGAGTGAGAGATGGCGATCTACTTTCTACTTCTGCCTCTGTTTCCTATTAGCTCTGTTACCTTGGGCGATTCTCCTTTCTCCGAGTCTCAGATTTCTCATTAGCAAAGTGAGGGTTTGGTCTGAAGGATCTCTACAGTTACACCTATTTCCAACAGTCTGACAGTGAGTGTATTATCCCTGAGCTTCTTGGCTGGGTGTGGGTTCTTGTGCCATTGTGGCCCCAGGGACTACAGAATGAATACCTGTGAACTTGAGTAGAAAATGGTACTCTATACTTGATCGTAACAGGTGATTTTAGGAGAGTCTTTCCAGCTCACAAGGATCTTTTTATGTACTTTAGCCACTCAGAGCAGTGCTCCCTGGCAGATATTTTGTACATGGAGAAGTAAGATAAGAAACGTTGTTAACATAAAGGAGTGGACAGGGATGTCAAGAGCTTTGTTATGGTAATGCCATTTGATTCATTAAACATCTTCTTAGTTAATACCCAGAATCACATGATGATGTATCATGAAAATTATTTTAATGCTTTATCAACTTGAAAAGGCACTCTGTCAGGTTTTTTTTTTTTTTTTTGAAAGATTTCCATCTGATTTACGAAATTATTCTAGAAGTAGTACTTTCTGTTTTCAACATCCAGTTATCACATTATCTCTTTGTTGGTACTGTACTTGAAAGTTTGTGTATGTTGGTGAAATGCTTTGTAGCAAGATACAGGATAGGATAGAAGCACACACTTTTCAAAAGTGAGAGATGGGCAGTTGTGAAAAGGGAGATGAAAAAGGAATATAGCGCTTCCACCACAGATGTGTTCTCAAGGAGAATGGTTCTATGAAAAAGTAGATATGGACATTGAGGTTCTGGAAATTGGTTCCCTTGACACTGCTGTGCATACAAACCCCTTGAAAAGAGTCCAGTCACATGATTCAGTCTTAAATTCAGCCTCCTGTCCTATCCTCAGTTTCTTCACCTGGATGTCCCTTGTGTCTCTCATGTTTCCTCTTTTTTCTAATTTTGCTAGGGACTTAATTCTTGCCAAATATAAATGTTCTTGAGTCTCTGATCTAAAATGAATATCAATACTTTCTTTTTGCTCTGATAGCATAACATCCCAACCCCCTAGACACACGTATACAGAGTCACACTCACCATCATTTTCCGATTGAGTTCCTGGATTCTGTTCTCCAGTAAATGAGGTTTGTTGCCTGCTTCCCCCATCTTCCCATGGTTCAAAACTGTGTTCCCTTCCTAATTCTCTATCACTCCCATTTCATCTCCCAGGTGGCCATCTGATTCCTTCAAAAGCTCCCTTATTAATAATTCTCAAATGTGGTGACTTTGCCCAACAGTCTTGCAGATGTATTCTGAGGTTCTTTGGGTTATCAGTTTGCAAAGAACCTGTAGGGCTCCCCCATAAATCTTGTAAAATCATTCTTCCTCAGCCCTTCCAGTCAGTCCTACCTTATCCAACTCTTTTTGTGTGCTGTTGTATTCTGGAAGTTGACTTATACTTACACAGCTGTATTTAGAATTATTTAACAAGGTTTTGTTAATATTTCTAGTTTTCTTTCTCTTCATTTTACTTACCTATTACATTATAACTTATGAGAGCAAAGACTATTTTCTAAGACCATTTTATATGAAGTGAACTCAAGTTGTTCAAAAGTATTTAAACTATTACGTTTGTTTGAAAGAATCTGAGCAGTTAAAGTTGTTCCAAAGTGCTTAAACAATTACAGTTGTTCAAACGTATTTGAACAATTGTAGTTGTTCAAAATAGTGTAAGGCATAGCTTCAGCCCTTTAAGATCTTAAAGTTTTATAACAGAGACAAACCTGTCCTTATGAAACAAGAGGGAAGCCTGGGAGGTACTGACTGCAGTAGGAATCCATTGGAACGGTGACTGACTAATCTGAGAAGGCTTCTGGAAGAGGAGACACTGGGGCTGGGCCTTGAAGAATGAGAGAGGAGGGTCTAGGTGAAGGAGAAGGGGAAGTACAACAACCCAGAAATGGGAATTAATCTCAGCAAACATTTACTGGGCCGCAAGGTTCATTGGAGAGAGTCAGGAAACAGTCGAATTACTCAACCTTTCCAAGCCAGTTTCCTCAGATTTTGTGAGGACCAAAAGACTATGTGTCTGAATGTACTTAGCATAGTTCCTGGCACAGGGTTGGACTTGACAAACATTAACTTCCATCCCACCGCAGGTTAGATTATGAACATGCAATGAATAGAGAGCTGGAAGAGATTGCTCAAGACCCCTGAATACAATGGAATCTCACAAAATACTTGAAGACTGACAGGCTAAAGGTGGGGTGGGTGGATGGAGGTTTTGGAGGAGGACAAGGGGACCAGAATAGGCAACCTTAGCTCTCTGAAACAGCTTTCCTGGAACTTAGTAGAATTTCCAAGACACAAATACCAACCTTGGCAGACGGGGCTCCCCAGCCTGAGACTCCTCCAGTGGGAGCTCAAAGTCCTCTTAGCCCAGCCACATTGGGTAGCTTAGGGACTCAATGTCACTCCAGCCTGTGTCTTGCAGGTGCTCCTTCCTAGAGCTGTGTCTGAAATGGCTGTGCATCCGGACTGAAGACAAAGGCACACAGCTCAGCAAACAGAATGTGGCACTCAGAACTGAAGTTACAGATGGATCTCAGCCCTGCTCAGAGTTTATAGGGCTAGCCAACCCCTCACGATCCCTGGTGGCCTCAGAGGCTCAGCACTCTGGAGGTCCTTGAACATACCCACTGCAAAATCACCTCTGGGGCCCTGGAAGGTTCAGGCCTCAGGGAAGAAGAGGTTATTCCCTCTAGCTTTTGGTCACTTGCTTTGCTCTTGAGATG